TGCCTGGTACCAATTTACCGACCCCGGAGGGATGGATGGCTTGGTGGGCCATGAGCGCGAGATCGAACCATTGACCTCGTGTGCGACGCAGGGCACCTCTAACCACTGCGCCACATGCGCTCCTTTTAATCTCCTTTTAGACTTTTAATCTAACGGTCAGGGTATTAACGATAGGTTTAATAAATGTAGGCATCATATATGTCTAGAGAACAGCTTCTCTTGTACCCGCTCTGGGCTGAATCGTTGCTTGAAAGGAAGCTATTTATGTAGTACAAGAGGTGTCGCATAGAAAACTTGAATAAGAGATAGAATATTTAACATATGACTTTTACACGATTACCTTAGATCCTACATAAGCTAAGTTTGACAAATAGTGTCTCGAATAGTTTTATTATGAAAAACTAACCATATGTATGAAGCGAAGGGTCAATTCCTATCCAATCACCTACGGTGAGTTCTTTAGCAATAAAATCTTCAACAGAAATCGAATCTGGTTGACCTTGTTTCAGCAGCTCAAATGGTGGTACCAGCTGTTCTGAAGCCTAGAAGCTCACCATTTACGGGGGAATGAACGATAAACAGAGCATCATCAATGGAATTCTTCTGTATTCAAAATGATACTATCTGAGAGTAAAGTCTTGTAAGAACAAAACATTGTCGGAGCTTCATATAAAAATATTACAAAGACGCACTCCTGCGAGCTCTCTCTACGGACAACTCGCAAGAACTCTGTCTCAAATAAGCCTGGTTATTCAGTAAACGAGAACGATGAAGCTCTCGTTAATTATTCAATCTCTGATGGATGCGCCATGAATTTGACAAGCATTGTTAGAGGGTGATCTGGATGCATATCTGGTCCTTACGATGACTTAGTGTAGCCTGCTGATCTATCAAGTCAGTGCAGCTATCCTCCCAGACAAGACTGGTACCTATTCACCCATCCCGGAGGGACGGAAGGCTTGGCGACCTTGGGCGCGGGATCGTACCGTCCACCATATATGTGCCGCTGGGCTGCTCTGACCACCGTACCATACACGTCCTGGCGATAAGAATACAAATGATCAAATCATACCTGCGTGAAATAGCGTCCATCAGTCCACAACACAGCCTTTTCGTTCGTCACAGCCACATAAGCATTAGAACCAGTAAAGCCAGTGAGAAATTTCACACGGAAATCGTGGTCGGCGAGGTACTCACTCTAAACATAGAGCTCGTACGACCGATTTTCAGTAGAAATAATAAGAGAAAACCCTACAGAGACAAACCTGATGTGCATCGGTGCTCGGTAAAAGATACCCTTTGATGGGGGTTCCATTTGTTACTGCGAGCACTTTTGATAAAGAGAACTGAGCTCGCAGTAGGTCGGCTTTTGTAGACATTAACGATAGAGATTTCTGGAAAATTAACGCCGTAATGATCCAAATCATGCTAAAGTGCAAGAATAACGACGCTGTTTATTAGGCAGAATTGTTGAGAAGTTCGGAGTGGCCTTTTTTTGCAGATTGATTGATAGGATAGCGAACTTCGATGATAAGATAGCAAACAGTACAACTTGTCGCACAGTCCTGATCAAATTTCGACAGCGTTATTCGATTGTCTAGAAATGATCTATTGATTCGATATCTATCTATCTATCGATAGCTATTATACGTCGATCTATTGATTCATTCACTAGAAAGCCGACGTTGCATCGATAATGAAGTATTCCTTCCTCAAATGCTCAAGAAATTGCCCTCAAGTCTGGATGTGATGATGACAGATGTGGCTTCACTGTGGCGATGCGAATCAGCGATTAGCTTGTTTGTGTGGTGACGCTGATCGATTGAGTTCTTGAGTGGGTCGATTTCAATTCTAAAATAGGGTCAGTTTAGTTCCAAGTGATACGCGAAATCCAACCATAACATCAAGTTGCTGCAAAAGGTCCGAGTAGGACTCAGCTGAACCTGAGACGATTGACCAGTCGTACAGAAGTGATCGTGATCGGACTGATTGCTTGAGCGACGCGTTCTATGGTGACAGGCCGATGATTGCTCACTGTCGCTTATCAATGCCGGCTGAGTCTTAGGGTCCCACTCGTCTCCAAAGTGCGCACCTCAAACTCCGATAATTGAACATCCTCATGGACAATACCAACACAAAAATGAGAAGAAAAAGAGAACGACAATCGTGTAATAGCGCTTTACAAATGAATAAAAGTAAGCTCAACATATCCGTGATTAGAACGAGTTATGTATAACAAGTAAACGAATTTTTTTCCTTTATCTTGAGAGATTAGGGCTCGTTTGGCGCCGTGATTGAGACTTATCAGGCTCTCGATTCCTCCAGGAGTCAGAGAATTGGTGCGACTTGTCTCGGAGGATATCAGCACTGACTTGATACATCAGTAAGCCATTGCGAGTCATTGTCAAAGGTCAGGTAGGCTTTCAAATTATTAGAACGTTCTATAAGTTTTGGCACTAGAGCAATACACACAACAAATTTAATAACCAAAAGTGCTCAAAATCGCATATTGGTACCGTTCAATTTCGCATTTTTTTGCAAACATTTTGCTTAATAAAATGCCTATAGATCCTTTCATTATTATTTGAACCAACTTGTCATGTGGTCTGGTAAGAGCTCTTGTACAGCCCGATACACGTGTTTCGTCCTTACAGACTCGTCAGTCGGGCAGAACCCGTCGTCTTTCGATATTTTTATAGTCAGTTCTCTCGGGAGCTCTGCTCCTTTACAGAGAGTCATCGGAGACGAACGTTTTACACTCTATGTCAAGTGAAACCTTTCACCTAACACAGAGTGTTGCGCACTCGACGCTCATTGCTGTATTTTTATCATATTACCTTCATGCTTTATAGCCGCGCAAACAATAGACTTTAGTAATCTGCATGTAGTGGTCTGATAACTCTCTGTAATGGAGCAGAGCTCCCGAGAGAACTGACTATAAAGATATCGAAAGACGACGGGTTCTGCCCGACTGACGAGTCTGTAAGGACGAAACACGTGTATCGGGCTGTACAAGAGCCCTTACAAGACCACATGACAAGTTGGCTCAAATAGTAATGAAAGGATCTATTGAAATTTGAGCGTGGTCTTAATAAAGCACTCGAAGGAAAGGTATAAACTGCCTATACTTGTTTCAAGATGGAGATGCCGTGAAAACATTTGCTTGCTATTCTTGCGCAGGTAAAATGCCAGTGAGCTTCCTGGAGACGGGCCGAGCGCGACTGATCCTCCACACTGTTCTCTACAGCTTTTGATTTTGGGAACCACTTCCTAGTCGTCCTTTCTGCTCCGTATCACCACCTCAAGCTCTGCTAATCTTGCGCGCCTCTCCGCTAGCATTTTCACCTACACGTAATTCATGCATGAGTGGCAGGCGAAATTGTTCCCAAGATAGCTCCATCTTGAAGCAAATATAGGCAAGTTTTATGCCGAAATGTTCACAAGAAAGCGCACGATTGAACAATACTAAAGTCATACAATTTTTAACCACTTAGGGCTAATAAATCTGGTCTTCATTACCCTAGTGGAAAAACGGTTCTTCGTAGTTACGACGGGACATGTGGAAAACCGATCTCATTCACTGGAGGGGAGTTTTTCATAGGAGTGTTAGCAACCATTCGAAAGCTGAGACTTCAGGCCACAGCCCTACGTCGTCAATTTCCAAAACACCCTTTTATAACGCTGTAAAATTCACACAAAACTATGTCTCAGACGCGCATATTCCTCGACGGACAGAGCTCTTTCTTTGAACTATTAGCAATCACTCAATAGTGTAATCGTTTCTGATCCCAGCGCTGTGCTTAGATTCTGAAAAATTGAATTCGATGTGTGAGCAAGGTAGCCTTTAGCTAATGTACGTGCCAGCGCGTGAAGCGGGCACGTGCGATGACGCGATAACCATTGGTTCTTCGGTTGTATGAACGCGTAGAGAAATGTCGCATCAGCAGTTCACGTGGCCGCCTCACGCACGGGCACGTGCGTTGGCCAAAGACCTCCTCGATCGCAGATGGAAATTCAACTTATTTTACCTACTGCGTTCCATAGAAACTGTCTTTTCAGGATATGAGCATAGTGTTGGAATCAGCAACGATTGAGCTATCGAATGATTACTAATAGTCCAATGAAAGAGCTCTGTCCGCCGAGAAATATGCACGTCTGAGACATCGCTTTGTGTGGAGATCAGAGTATTACAAAAGGGTGTTTTGAAAAGTCGGCGATGTGGAGTTGTAGCCAGAAGTCTCAGTTTTCGAATGATTACTAACAGTCCCGTCAAAAATTCCTCTCCAGCGGATGAGGCCGGTTTTTAATTTGTCCCTTTATAACCAGAAGATACCCAAAAACTTATGGAATGACCTGATATGACTGGAATCAATTCCTAAGTGATTGAAGAGCTCGAAAATGAGTGCTACTACTTACAATAAGAAAGCAAAACACGGGAGAAGACTGTAGGAACAGATGAGGAGGAAAAAATTGAAGCATTGACCAATGACGCTCTTTGTATTCGTTTTAGAGTGGGAGATTCATGTTGGATCCTCGGAACTGTTAGGCCAAGAAATTTTCCAAGCCAAAGATCTAACGCAGATCAAGGGGAAAGAATTTTGTAATATATTAAAAATGACTGACAAATGGATAGCATGCAAATTTTTCGCGCCAGGCGGGACTCGAACCCGCATCTCGCTTTATCCGGGGGACAGCACTCGAACCCGTTGCACTATTTACGCCTGTTTTGCTCACCAAGCGTCCGGGAAGGATGAAACGCGGGTTCGATTCCGAGCTGAGGCCGTGTTTTTGCCCACCACTCAATCTCTTGAGAATATATAGACGATCATAACACTGCTAAAAATGTAGTAAAATACTAAAAATTTCGAGTACTAGATCATCACAATGGCGGTCAGCTCAACTGGGTCTATAAAGCGAAATCGCATTCCCGACCAAACCTGTCAAATGTCGATGGCTGATAGCTAACATAGAGATATTGAAGAATGAGTGGTGGCGCAAATGTCTCTGTGGTGTAGTGGTAGAGCACGCGGCCCCGGATAGGACGAAATGCGGGTTCGATTCCGGCTTGAGGCCGTGCTTTTGCTCACAGCTCAATTCTCTCGGAAATATATGAATAATCATAACACTGCGAACAATGCAGTAAAAACTAGAAATTTCTAAAGATAAAGAGAACTCTTTTTACAAATAGAACAGAGCTTACGACAGTTCATAAGCAGCGCAAAAAGGAAGAAACAAAAAAAAAACAGGAAAACTAGGGAAAAAAATAGAAATAAAACGAGGAGCAGAACAACGACAACAGCAATCCTGCGACGTTTCCAATGACTCAGAGTTGTGAAGAGAACGATCCAAGAGTTTTGAATGATGTGGAAAGCTTTGAGTTCAGGCGGGAATGGAACCCACGTTCCACCGTCCCGAGGACGCATGCTAACCACTATGCTACCAGGGCTCCTGCTGTTCTGACACAACACGCTGCTCTATGAAGGGTGAACAACCCCTAACCTAGGTAGTGAAACTGAATGCTAAATGATGACCAAATTGAAACCGACGTGACAACAAATGACGGCATGAGTTTTAAGCGGTCGCGCTAACTTTGCACTCTTCTCGCACTTTCAGTTCGCATGTCCGATTTTTGCTCGTCGACATCGTCTCGGCGCTGCTTTTGCTCAGTTGCTGTCCGATCGACCACCACTTAGAAAAAATACGTATCGATCGACGCAGACGAAAGAGGTCTTTCGAAAGTACCCGAGCTAAAGCCTCTTTTTTTCTGAAATTCGAGCCAGCGGCATCCTTTTTTGCGGTTATTTTTAGCTTATCCAGTGAATCTTGAGCTAATAAGGATATCCCGACTTTTTAAGGATGTAAAAATCTATTTAATGAGCTGATTCTTCGTCTCCTAATATCTCCAGTGTTCTCTGATTTCCACCTCTTCGGCTGCCCTTCCAGATTTGTCTCTGAGTTCACTTGCGCTTTGGCGGTTTCAGTAAACGGCCCTTGTGGGGAATTGTGGTCCCATCAACTTTTAAAGTGTTTTTAAATTGATTTTTTCGAATGAGAAGTTACGAGAACACGCTGAGACTTAGGCTTAGGCTTAGCCTTAGGCTCAGGCTTAGCCTTGGGCTTAGGCTTAGGTTTAGGCTTAGGCTTGGGCTTGGGATTAGGAGTGGGCTAAGGCTTAGCCTCAAGCTTGTTTTTGGAAAAATGATGGGACCACCACTCCCCACTAGCGTCCAGTAGATATTGCTCAGCATCCTGTGGAGATATGCAGGAAATTCTGAGCCTTGGATAGGAATTGAACCCGCGTCTCATCGTTTCTGGGGCTCGGTACCAGAGTTTTGCATCTCACTCGAGATTATCGCCTATAACGTCATGACGCTACTGTAAGAAGCGATAGATTGAAGGGAATTCTTCTAAATCGTACAACATCATGGGTGGTTTCGATTTGCAAATAGTTTGCTTAGTGATGTGCAAAACTTTTGCGTCAGCCGGGACTCGAACCCAGCTTATCTCTACTTTCTGCTACTTTCTAGTTATTGATTGATTATGAACGTGCATTGTAATGTTGGTTACATCGGTAGCTCTGTTCTACTCTACTCTGCTCTTCAGGAAATGTGTAAGTTGGCAGTGTAGTGTGTCGCCTCGCCTTTCTCAGTAATCAATCCATCATGTCTTCGTCCGCCGTCTTCATTCTCGATTTGAAAGGAAAGGTAATTTTGCAGCTTTTGCTTTGTACCCATAGATTTCATAGATAAGAACGGCTCATAGATAAGAGCGGTCTCTATTCGGAACAGTAATTGGTAGTAATTTTGCAGTTTTTGATTATCTTATCCTAAAGTTTTTAGCGTTTTCTATCGGTTCTTACCCTTAATTCTTATTCTTTATAAACTCCCAGTAATTTCTCTTCCATCTCTTCTGGCGCTATCGTGCAGAGCTTTGAAAAAATCACCATGTCATGTTGAAAATCGCAACTGAGAGCAATTCAGGAATTCTTTCTGTTGAACCTTGTGGCGGTGGTGTGATGTTACAGACATGCGCATTGATGTAGAGTGATGTGCAAAAATTTGCGTCACGCGGGACTTGAACCCGCATTTCACCCAATCTAGGAGCGCGTCACGTACTCTATCCCTTGCACCGAGCCTTGTTTTGACAACACTCTTTTCTATAGATGTGTTGTAGCGTAGAAAAAAGTGGTGGCAAAGCGGGTGTCAGTACGTAGTGCAACTGGTTAGAGTCGCGCCTCCGGACTGAGTGAAATGCGGGTTTCAAGTCCCGCCTGGCGCAAATTTTTGCACATCACCTACATCAATGAAACTCTAATTTTGCTGATATAAATATAAACGATAATGAGAAGGTAGAAATTGAAAATTGAAGATAAGTAATTGTTACTTTTGTTGCTGTTCGGTGATCAAAATAAAAAGAATGGGCATGTTTTTGCGTCCTTTTTTGCAAAAGTTAAGCCGCTGTTATCTATGAACTTCTAAGGTACTTTTCATTATTTTCTTGCACGAGTCAGTGTCTTTCTGTATGAGCAGTCACAAGGTTCTTAACGGTAGAATTCGAATGCAATGTATTACAATAATTAATGGCTGAAGTTCCGGTGGTTTCGCTCGCTTCCGAGCCTGGAAAGGTCAAATTGACTTGCAATTGCTTCATGTTTATTTTCAAAATGCGCTTCTCTTATTCTAAGGGTTCCGTCCGAATAGTCATTTCAGTCGCGCATAAATTCTTGTAATCAACTTTCTCTGTACAGTCGCTTTCTAGACGATCATATCCCGTAATTATCGAGGAGATGTCGACATGGGACTCATCGATCGGTTCCTTCCGTTATTAATGGATCGTGAGGAAGAAGGGCTCGCATCGCCTGTGATTTCGAATCAGGACGTCACGTTTGTCTTCATCAAACACAACAACATCTATCGTTAGTGCTTAAGACAATGTCTTTATCCTTTTCCTTCTCTTTCTTGAGAACATCTAATTTATTTTTAGTCGTTTCGACTTGTCGATCAAACGTCAACGTCACCCTGGTGCTCTCCTTCCTCTTCAAATGTGTGGAGGTAGATTTGCTTCATTAGGTCGTTTCGTGAATGCGTGCACTCAAGTGCATCGAATTTGCAGAAAAGTGCAATTGTTCCGACTTTGAATACTCTATAATTAGTAGGTAAATCTGCAAGCGTTATCCACTCATGTGAATTTGTTTAATCCCCTTTTTTATTCGTTGATAGAAGCTCTAAGTCTTAACAAGAATTCTTTAGGTTTTCACTGAGTACTTCAAAGACGTAGAGGAGGAGTCTATTCGAGACAACTTCGTCGTCATCTATGAACTACTTGATGAAATGATGGATTTCGGGTTTCCACAAACCACTGAAAGCCGGATTCTTCAGGAGTAAGGATTCTCCTTTATGAACCAGATACAGTGGAATTGTGAGTGAATTACCTGTATGACATAGTTGCTCAGGTTTATCACACAAGAAGGCCACAAACTGGAAAACGCACCGAGGCCACCAATGGCTGTCACAAACGCGGTTTCTTGGAGATCGGATGGCATAAAATATCGGAAAAACGAGGTTTTCCTTGATGTTATCGAAAGCGTTAACATGCTGGTAAGCATTTGATGCAAGTGTGATGTTTGTCCTTACATTTCTATTACAAACGGATTTGCAGGCGAACGCCAACGGTACCGTTCTACAGAGCGAAATTGTGGGATGCGTAAAGATGCGAGTTTATCTAACAGGAATGCCGGAATTGCGACTCGGGCTCAACGACAAAGTGTTGTTTGAGGGTAGTGGACGTGAGTTGCAAACCAATCTTCTGATTACCTTTCAAACGCGTCTTGTCTTCATTTGTTTTTAATTACGTGGCCAAGATCAGTATGCAGAATCTACCCTACTTCGAATCTGTGAATAGAAAATAGATTCTTTGTTATCGGAGCTAAGGGTAATGGTATCTGTAATCGTCAGACTTAAAAAAAAGGATAAAGCTCTCAGCGTTGATCAATCTCTGAGGGATGCGCCATGCATTCGACTTCAATTTCTAACTTCGTTCGAGGTGATTGAATGCATATCTGGCCTTTACAATGACTCGCGGTGGCCTCCCGCTTAACCGAGTCAGTGCTGCTTATCCTCCCAGGCAAGTCTGAGACCTGTCTGGTACCAATTTACCGACTCCGGAGGGATGGATGGCTTGGTGAGCCATGAGCGCGAGATCGAACCATTGACCTCGTGTGCGACGCAGAGCACCTCTAACCATTGCGCCACATGCGCTCTTTCGTCTGTTGTCGGTCTTTATTTATTGATGGCTTGTCGGGAAATACACTTATACGAAGAACAGAAATCGGGCCACGATTCGACGCCCCGGCTATTCAAGGAAAAGAAATCAAATGGAACAGAATCAGGGAGAAGATGTTGAAAAGAAACCGTTGACGTATTCGTCAGACTTAATACCCAATAAAAGGGTTAGCCATATTTTCATTCTTTCCCATTTTGTTCATCATCCAGGACAAATCCTATCCTGTCTTCTATCACCGTCATTGAAATCGGTAGAAAGCTCATCTACTAGTTTGATGGCTACCTGTTTCTTTTCTTGTTCTCCTATAGTGGTTGAAATTCATATTTTTCTTGTTTTATAGGTGGTAAAAGCAAATCGGTGGAGTTGGAGGACGTGAAGTTTCATCAGTGTGTTCGTCTTTCACGTTTCGACAACGATAGAACAATCTCGTTCATTCCTCCTGACGGAGCATTCGAGCTAATGAGCTATCGCCTCACAACCGTTGTGAAGCCACTGATCTGGATTGAGACAAATATCGAGAGGCACTCGCACTCACGTGTTGAATTTATGATCAAAGTAAGTTATTTAGTGACTTCAGTTCGCAGATATTGTACATAAGTCTTTCCAGGCACTACTTATATTGTCAGTAATGCTTCTTGAATTTTAGACAGTGGTTTATCATAATTTTTCTCAGCATATTTTCTTCCTCTAATTTCTAATTACCCTTTTTTAGAATGCTTATGACATATTGTTTTTTTTCGACCTATATTTTTTTCGATTAAAGTTTTATTTAAGGCGAAATCTCAGTTTAA